TATTGTCTAACTCACCAATTTAAATGATCTTTGACATACATTGCCACTTCACCACCCTTCCCGTTGACTCTATCAGTATGGAATAGTTTATCACCCTGTATGTTGCAATCAGAAGGCATTTCTCTATCTTTCAAGTTGAACCATATCTCTGTTATAGCTATAATATCTATATTACCTGCACTTGCAAGTAATCTTAGCTCATCCCTCTTATTTCTTAGTCTCCTATTATTTGTATAGTAAACCTTAAGGGAATTAGTCACTCGTTACCATCTACTATCTCTCTTTGTTTGTTGAACAATTGCTTTGCCTTTATTAGCAACTATATTTTGAAAATTTTCTTTTAAACATATCACTGGGGTATCCTAGCAATATCTGCTGCTTTCAACCCTAATACTGCTGCTTGATTGTTTCCCACAAATGCCCATACGTCTATAATCTATCAGTTTATGTCATAGACAAGTCATCAAATACCTCTTCAATCGAATTGGCTAATGCAACCACTCCAGTCACAGAGAGATGAATGCCATAGAATTTGTCCCAGTTATCAATGAATGGGATTTCAAGTTCCTTGCAGTACCTGTCTAGCCAGCAATTTATACCAATTGCCATAGATATCCAACCATTGCCCACTCCCCTTCTAGGCAAGCTGCTACACATGACTGAGATCCTTCCCTTAGACCTGACTATTTCTTTGGCTGACCTGTACTTATCTAGCAATGCCTGTCTCCTACTCTTCCCGATGTCATTTCCACCAGCACTAAGACAGATAATGGGCTTGTTTCCAATACCTGACATAATATTCTCCAACCTGCTGACTATGTCCCTAACACCAGCTACTGGGAGGCACACCCTCTGTCTGACCTACCTATCTCTGTTACAAAAGACTCCCACAATCAGAATATTCATACCTTGATTTACAGGGGAGTCAATGGTACCTTTAAACTCACTAACCACTGAAGTCCACTCGTCCTGGAGAACAGAGAATCAATTTCCTACCTTCATATCTTCTCTGTTAACTTTCCTTATCTTCCTTCTTCCTGAATTGTGAACCACTTGCCACTTAAAGTGGCTCCCACTTTCTAACTCACTGCTGGTAACCTTTTCTTCTTTACCAGCTCCAACCATCTCACACTCACTCACAAACCCATCTAGTCGAAGCTTCAGCCTCCTATTTTCCTCCTGAAGAAGTAGAACCTCCTTCTTCAACTCTTTAACCTGAGATTCTACAACACTACAGCAAGCCATGGTGCTCAGTAACACCCCACGCTAATTCCCAGACATCTTAGGACAGGATGACCTCACATGACCACAGACAGCAGCATACTGCTCACCGTCTCAGCTCCGCAACTAATATCGGTACGCGGGATATGGGACATATGGTTCCTGAATATTTATTATGAGAATTTACGCCAATGAATTGGGGGAACTGATTGGACTGTATAATTATAAAGACAATATCAGGGTTTGACAGCTTCAAGTATTTCTTTAATCTACTTTTTTTTCAGACACAATTATTAAATTATTAAATATGTAATTTCAATAAGTGAAGAACATACTACTTACGAAGTTATTATTCTGGTGAAATATCCTAAAGCCTACAAACAGAAAGGCAAACTAATATTTGACAATATCTAGCTACTTTATATGTTGTGTGGGATAATACACACTGGGAGGCACACATTAATTATTGGATGATATATATGGTAGGAAATATGGCGTCTTATTCATCTACTGCCTCCTGTTTTTCATCCATATCATCCTTAGTGATTTTGTTTCATTATATATCTGGACCCTTCAAGATGTATTTCCTCTTCACTTACCATGTAGTGAAGAAATTTTGCCGATATTTCTATCAGCCACTATTACACTATAAAATATTCGCAAACTCGCGACTCGTTGTCCCATTACGTTATCTTGTTTCTCCTTTTTACTTTGAAACGTTTGTTTTCTAAATGTAAACTTATTGAAATTTATTAAGATTTATACCTGTGTTTGCTTAATATAATTATTATGCATCCGATATTCATCCTGTGGGAGGTATTCGAGAAGATTACAGAGGTACATAATGGGTCCTGGGACTGGGCCCTAAAGTTTTGATAGCTGAACAAGTTACAAAAGTAATGGGCCATTCACTCATCTTCACCTGATCAGAGGTACATAATTGGGCCAAGGACTGGACCACAAACATTTGATAGCTGAATAAGTTGCAAAGGTAATGAACCATTCACAGGTCCACTCCTGATTGCAGTTGAAATGAGTTATTAATGCATATATTAGCTTTATTTATAGGGATCAATGTCAGGGTATTTTTCCAGAATGGTCTGTAATATACTTCTCGGGGTGAAATACTTCAACATATCTTGAACATTTCTGAGTGACTTGTCTTTGAATTCATTAATTTATCTCATGACAGTACATAGCGATGCAAGGTGTGACAATAGTCCATCTGGCAACCTTTACATTTGCCTTTTGCTTAAATGAAAAAAAAATGAACACCCCCATTAGGGATTGAATTATCGGCCCAAAGAAGGTAAAATTAACCCACTTATTAACAGCCGAAGACTGAGGTAAGAACAAACATTACAAAGTTAAGCTTCACTAATCAACTTAAATAACTGAACATACTGTAGCAAAACTCATAAAAGACTAAGTACAAAAGACGTTTGTACCGTGTAACAACAGTGGTAATTTTTTTAAAGAAAAGCTTATTAAAAGTACTGCCAACTAATCTTGTTGGAATGACAATCACTAAGGAGACACGGTAATTCAAAACGCACTTCTTCGTTAAAACTGTATCAAATTATATATAAAAAACTTGATAAATATAGCATCGTAATTTCCAGGAAATACGAATGAGAAGATAGGGAGGCGTTCTTCATATTCAGGTTATCCGCAAGAACGATCAACTGATTCTTAATACGGAAAAAGCAAAGAAAGTTCCATCTGTTGTTGCGACTTGAACTAGGATTTATATAGGTGGGTTCTTTAGAAGGTATTTCTCTCTTAACTTCTTCGGTCACTTCTAGAAGAAATAACCGACTCTGTATACAATTTATATGTAGTAAATTTTGGCAGAGAGGCGGTGAAAGAGAGTAAAATACAAAATTAAACAATGCATGGGGCCACACTCTGTCATGAGTGTGGATGAAGAGAACAAAACAACTGTAAGGGCTAGGTGAGATGGTCCAATACTACCTAACAGGAGTTGAGTAAGTGTTACCTGGAGAATCACCTTCCTTACTTTCACAAGTATTTCTCACTACACCTCAACGGCTCGAAAAGTAAGAAATAAGATAACTTGCTGTGAAGAGAAGGTAGGAACAATTATTTAACCTTAATGCAGCCATTGCTGACGTACAGGTGGAAGATGGTCACCCACCGACCTTGTACATGTTAGGCTTAACTTGACACTACTGCTGGAACACTTTATACTGATTTAATTGTAATTCTCGAGGCTGTTTTCAAAAACATGTGCTCTATCGCTCTTGTGCAAAATTAGGGGCTCCTTAGATCTTGTATATTGCTTGTCTGAACCTCTCCTTGACGTTGAAACCCAGATATATATATATATATATATATATATATATATAATATATATATATATATATATATAATATATATATATATATATATATATATATATATATATATATATATTAGGGAGTCCCAAAAGTCTAGAAAATATGGAGAACTTGCCCATCATTATATGTTTGTTCCCATAGGCTCAGAGACCCTTGGCTCATGGGGAAAGAGTGCATCTAATTTCCTTAAGGAGCTGGGAAAAAGACTCATCAGGGTAACTAGGGATCCCAGGGCAGCTAGTTTTCTGTTCCAGCGGCTCAGTGCGGCTGTTCAAAGGGGTAATGCATGCTGCATTTTGGGCACACGCCCCAGCTCTGAGGAGCTGGATGAGATTTTCGCCTTATAATCGGTGATACACACGTAACAACATGTACCGTATATGCCACCTTTATATCAACAATGTATCTCTTAAATCTTCTGTGCCATATTATGTAATAAAATATTCCTATTGGTAAAAATATATATATATATATATATATATAATTATATATATATATATATATATATATATATATATATATATATATATATATATATATATATATATTGATTAAATGCACAGAGCAGGAGAATGTGACACTACATATAGAGGAAGGTGAAAGGAGGACGTGACGTTGCAGACAGATGCGACATTGCAGCCGGAGGAAGGCATAAGGATGTGACGTTGCAGCTGGAAGAAAGTGTCAGGATGTGACGTTGCAGCTAGAGGAAAATATCAGGAGGATGTGATGTTGCAGCGGAAAGAAGGCATAAGGACGTGACGTTGCAGCTGGAGGAAGGTGTCAGGAGGATGTGACGTTGCAGCTGGAGGAAGGTGTCAGGAGGATGTGACGTTGCAGCTGGAGGAAGGTGTCAGTGTTACTGTAAAGTAGTAAAATAGTGTTTAAGATGCTCTTCAGCGGGTACATGAAAGTGAGAAACAAACATATATGGGAAAAAAGATGCATGTAGGTGATGTGAAGATCTGTCATGATGAAGGAGGCTGATGGAACCTTCACAGTGACCGAGGTTGTTCTTGGTGGAGACTGAAGATGTTATGTCGTTTTTAACATTGATTTACAACTCGGTATTAAGCAACAAGGTAGATTCTTGTGTGTGATGTTTTCTTCTTCCCAGTAAATATGACTTCTAATTTTTGCAGGATATGAACATTCTGAGCTTAGAAAGCTAAACAATGCTTAAACATGTACAGATATTGAGCACCAACATTAATTGGGATGGAAGCTGCATTACACGCAAGACAAAGAAACTCATTGAACGATAAATATTTTAATCAGCTCTCAAAGAAACTGAACCAAACATTATTATTCCAGGTGCACAAATATGGACATAGTTGATTATATAATTAGTTGATTAAATTTAGTTATGTGATTCAGACAAATTAAATTGAATTACATGTTATAATTCCTTCTCTTCAGAATTTGCCGTCACTTGTGTTCTTCCATTGCCGGGAAAGTGAAGTGAACAACTTGATTCAAGCAATAAAGAAAATAAACCAATATAAGAAGCAAGAAGACTTAATATACACTGTTCCCCAATACCTAGAAGAACCACTACAGATGCTGATTCAAGAAACTAAAACCCACATAAGAATTGTCAGATTTCACTCCTTCATCTACCAGCCTCACTTGGATACTGATCCCCTCAGGTAGGTGGTATAACATTACCTATGAAGTGTTTCACCCTCAGGTAGGTGGTATAACATTACCTATGAAGTATTTCACCCTCAGGTAGGTGGTATAACATTACCTATGAAGTGTTTCACCCTCAGGTAGGTGGTATAACATTACCTATGAAGTGTTTCACCCTCAGGTAGGTGATATAACATTGCCCATGAAGTGTTTCACCCTCAGGTAGGTGATATAACATTACCTATGAAGTGTTTCACCCTCAGGTAGGTGATATAACATTGCCCATGAAGTGTTTCACCCTCAGGTAGGTGATATAACATTACCTATGAAGTGTTTCACCCTCAGGTAGGTGATATAACATTGCCCATGAAGTGTTTCACCTTCAGGTAGGTGGTATAACATTACCTATGAAGTGTTTCACCCTCAGGTAGGTGGTATAACATTACTTATGACGTGTTTCACCCTCAGGTAGGTGGTATAACATTACCTATGTAGTGTTTCACCCTCAGGTAGGTGGTATAACATTACCTATGTAGTGTTTCACCCTCAGGTAGGTGATATAACATTGCCTATGTAGTGTTTCACCCTCAGGTAGGTGGTATAACATTACCTATGAAGTGTTTCACCCTCAGGTAGGTGGTATAACATTGCCTATGAAGTGTTTCACCCTCAGGTAGGTGGTATAACATTGCCTATGAAGTGTTTCACCCTCAGGTAGGTGGTATAACATTACCTATGTAGTGTTTCACCCTCAGGTAGGTGATATAACATTGCCTATGTAGTGTTTCACCCTCAGGTAGGTGGTATAACATTACCTATGAAGTGTTTCACCCTCAGGTAGGTGGTATAACATTACCTATGAAGTGTTTCACCCTCAGGTAGGTGGTATAACATTACTTGTGAAGTGTTTCACCCTCAGGTAGGTGGTATAACATTACCTATGAAGTGTTTCACCCTCAGGTAGGTGGTATAACATTACCTATGAAGTGTTTCACCCTCAGGTAGGTGGTATAACATTACTTGTGAAGTGTTTCACCCTCAGGTAGGTGGTATAACATTACCTATGAAGTGTTTCACCCTCAGGTAGGTGGTATAACATTACTTGTGAAGTGTTTCACCCTCAGGTAGGTGGTATAACATTACCTATGAAGTGTTTCACCCTCAGGTAGGTGGTATAACATTACCTATGAAGTGTTTCACCCTCAGGTAGGTGGTATAACATTACTTGTGAAGTGTTTCACCCTCAGGTAGGTGGTATAACATTACCTATGAAGTGTTTCACCCTCAGGTAGGTGGAATAACAGTACCTATGAAGTGTTTCACCCTCAGGTGAAGCACTTCACCCAGGGAAATACTAGGGATATTACTGAAATAATAGATTATGTAGAACATGATGATAAACTATGTACGATTGCGGTAACTAGTGACATGGTCCTCAGACAAATAGAGAAACTAAAACCTAGCAAATCCCCAGGCCCTGATGAACTGTTTCCAAGGGTGTTAAAGGAATGTAAAGAGAAACTTAGCATACCTTTGGCTAATCTTTTTAACATATCACTACAAACTGGCATAGTGCCTGTTAATCGGAAATTGGCCAATGTTATACCTATTTACAAGGCAGGTGACAGGTCCTTGGCTTCGAACTGTAGACCAATAAGCCTTACCTCCATAGTGAGAAAATTTATGGAATCAATAATTGCCGAAGCAATTCTTAGCCATCTTGATAGGCACAGATTGATTAATGAATCTCAACACGGTTTTACAAAGGTGCGTTCCTGTCTTACAAATTTGCTAATTTTTTTCACTAAACTGTTTGAGGAGGTAGATCATGGTAATGAATATGATATTGTGTATATGGACTTCTGTAAGGCTTTTGATAGAGTTAAACACCAGTGGCTATTGAGGAAACTTAAGGCACACAGAATAGGAAGAGAAATTCTTTCTTGGGTAGAGGCATGGCTGACAAATTGGCAGCAGAGAGTTTGCATAAATGGGGAGAAATCAGAATGGGGGGACGTCACTAGCGGTGTTCCTCAGGGGTCAGTGTTGGACCCGTTGTTGTTCACAATTTACATAAACGACATAGATGAGGGAATTAATAGCGACATAAGCAAATTTGCTGATGACACCAAAATAGGCCGTCCAATTCATTCTAATGAGGACACTAGAGCACTCCAGGATGCAATGGTCGGAGAAGTGGCAGATGCAGTTTAATAATGACAAATACAAAGTTCTAAATGTTGGACAGGTAAAAAACCATGCCACATATAAACTAAATGGTGAAGATCTTAATACTACTGATTGCGAAAATAATTTAGGAGTTCTGGTGAGCATTAATTTAAAACCTAGACTACAGTGCATTAGCGTTCGCAATAAAGCTAACAGAATTCTTGGCTTTATATCTAGAAGCATAAATAATAGAAGTCCTCCGGTTGTTCTTCAACTCTATATATCCTTGGTTAGGCCTCATTTAGACTATGCTGCTTAGTTCTGGTCACCGTATTACAGAATGGATATAAATGCTCTGGAAAACTTACAGAGGATGATGACAAAGATGATCCCATGTATCAGAAATCTTCCCTATGAGGATAGACTGAGGGCCCTGAATCTGCACTCTCTTGAAAGGCGTAAAATTATAGGGGATATGATCGAGGTGTATAAATGGAAAACAGGAATAAATAAAGGGGATGTAAATAGCGTGCTGAAAATTTCTAGCCAAGACAGGACTCGCAGCAATGGTTTCAAGTTGGAAAAATTCAGATTCAGAAAGGATATAGGAAAGCACTGGTTTGGTAATAGAGTTGTGGATGAGTGGAACAAACTCCCGAGTACAGTTATTCAGGCTAAAACGTGTAGTTTTAAAAACAGGTTAGATAAATATATGAGAGGGTGTGGGTGGGTGTGAGTTGGACTTGACTAGCTTGTGCTGCTGGGTCTGGTGCAGTGCTCCATCCTTGAGTGGAGATGATCAGACTGGGTGGGTCATTGGGCTAATCCGGGGGGAGGTCATTGGTCTACTCCGAGGGACATGTACCTACTCCGCATGGGTCAGTAGGCCTGGTGCAGTGTTCCTTCTTTCTTATGTTTTTATGTTTCACCCTCAATAGATGGTATAACATTACCTATGAAGTGTTTCACCTTCAGGTAGGTTGTATAACATTACCTATGAAGTGTTTCACCCTCAGATAGGTGGTATAACATTACCTATGAAGTGTTTCACCCTCAGGTAGGTGGTATAACATTACCTATGAAGTGTTTCACCCTCAGATAGGTTGTATAACATTACCTATGAAGTGTTTCACCTTCAGGTAGGTTGTATAACATTACCTATGAAGTGTTTCACCCTCAGATAGGTGGTATAACATTACCTATGAAGTGTTTCACCCTCAGGTAGGTGGTATAACATTACCTATGAAGTGTTTCACCCTCAGATAGGTGGTATAACATTACCTATGAAGTGTTTCACCTTCAGGTAGGTTGTATAACATTACCTATGAAGTGTTTCACCCTCAGGTAGGTGATATAACATTACCTATGAAGTGTTTCACCCTCAGGTAGGTGGTATAACATTACCTATGACGTGTTTCACCCTCAGGTAGGTGGTATAACATTACCTCTGAAGTGTTTCACCCTCAGGTAGGTGGTATAACATTACCTATGAAGTGTTTAAGAACATAAGAACATAAGAATGTAGGAACACTGCAGAAGGCCTACTGGCCCATACGAGGCAGGTCCTTATCAAAACGACATCTACCTAAAGCTACTCAAGAAATAACTCCCGTACCCCTTGACACCAATCAAACCCAGCCCCTCCCACTCATATATTTGTTCAGTCTCTTCTTAAAGCTACACAAGGTCCTAGCCTCTATCACCCCACTGGGAAGACTGTTCCACGCATCTACAACTCTGTTAGAAAACCAGTACTTACCTATGTCCTTTCTAAATCTAAATTTATCCAACTTAAATCCATTATTCATGGTTCTTACCTGGTTCGACACCCTCAGTACTTTATTAATGTCTCCCTTGTTTATGCCCGTCATCCACTTATACACTTCAATGATATCTCCCCTTATTCTACACCTCTCCAGAGAGTGGAGATTTAAGGCTTTAAGTCTATCTTCATACGGGAGGTTCCTTACACAGTAAATCATTTTATTCATTCTTCTCTGTATGTTCTCTAATGAGTCTATGTCCATCCTGTAGTAAGGGGACCAAAACTGAGCAGCATAATCTAAATGAGGCCTCACTAGTGATGTATAGAGCTGTAAAATAACTTTTGGACTTCTCTTACTTATACTTCTTGAGATAAATCCAAGTAATCTGTTGGCCTTGTTGCGCACACTAAGGCACTGCTGTCTTGGCTTTAGATTTCTGCTTACCATGACTCCCAAGTCTTTTTCACATTCTGTATAACCAAGCTCTACTTCACCTAGATTATAGCTTCGAGGGTTATTTTCATTACCAAGGGCAAGTACCCTACACTTATCCACATTAAACTTCATCTGCCACTTTTCAGACCAAGACATTAATTTGTTCAAATCGTCCTGGAGTTCATTGATATCCTCCTCAGAGTGAATTATACGGCCTATCTTTGTATCATCAGCAAACTTACTCATGTCACTAGTAATCCCTTCATCAAGGTCATTAATGTAAATTATGAACAGGAGAGGGCCCAAAACTGATCCTTGTGGAACGCCACTAGTGACTAATCCCCATTCAGATTTCACTCCATTAATGGTAACTCTCTGCTTTCTATTGGTAAGCCATGCCTCAATCCATGCTAGAACTTTACCTCCTATACCATGAGCTGCCACTTTTCTTAAGAGTCTCTTGTGAGGTACTCTGTCGAAGGCTTTACTAAAATCCAAATAAACAATATCATATTCGTAATGGCTTGATAAAGCTCCTGGAGAGCGAAACGTTGCCACAATAAATGTCACATTAGTTGCACTTGTGTCCTTTTACTTTACATACAATATCATATTCCTTATCACTGTCAACTGCCTCAAATGTTCTA